GGAAAACATTAGGGAGAGTTCAGGGTCAGCTGAAAAAAAAAAAAAAAAAAAAATGCTGAACAGCTCCTAAACGTGAGTTTATCAGCTGCAGTGTACATGAGCCCTAAGGGCTCGTTCACACTTGACTTTTTTGCAAACTCTTGCAAACGCCCCTATAGTGTTTGACAAGTGTTGGTCCGGTGTTTGAGAAGCGGTTTTAACGCTCCGCAAACGCTCCCAAAACGCCATATGCGCGATTTAGCGGCGGTTGGTAGGCGTTTGCCAAGCGTTAACACCTATAATGAAGTTTGAATGGTGTTAACGCTCTGCAAACGCCTCGCAAATGCTGGCCGGGCGTTTGCGGAGCGGCACCTTGAATAGGAAGCTTCAACTCTTCCTGACTCGACCAGTGGCATCCGTTTTGCCACGACGCTAACACTTCCGTGTGAACAGCACTATGTGTTGCAATGTGCAGAATTTTCAGAGGCGTTTGGAAAGCGGTAAAAACGCTTCCCAAATGCCTGTCTGCCGCCTGCTGACAACGCTAGTGTGAATGTAGCCTAAGACTTACTTGAAAATGAACGAAGCAGAAGGAAATGCAAGGTTCCCCCTAGTGGTCAGTTTACAGATTTCTTAAAGTGGAATTCCAATCAAAACCTAAAACCTTCCATCTACCCTGTAAGAGGAAAGATGTCTGTACATACCTATTCTGAATATGCTGCGGTCATGGGATCTCCAGAAGCTGCTTCAGTGTAGAAGAGAAGCAGAGACAACTGCAGAGGCTAGGCAATGATAACCTCCATAGGCCTTCTATGGGGCATCCGTTGTAGGCCGTCTTTGTTCTACACTGAAGCTGGAGAGATCATATGACTGGAGCAAGTTCAGACATCTTTCCTTTTGCAGCAGGGTGTCAAACCCGAAGCCCAGGAGAGTTCAGCATGAGGTCCGGGCCCCATTTTAATGTAGAAGTGAATCTCTATATAGCCATGTGACTACTTCTGCAGGTGAATATTTCCACAGTGCCAGCCGCTGCCCCCCTGCCCGCTACATGTCCCGGGCTCCACTTGCCCATCTGCGTGCCCGGGACAGGTTCATTGGGTGCCAGGGGGATGCTGGTATAGAGGAGGGAGGAGAATGGACACGTCCGCTCCCCTTCTTGTCCTGACCTGGAAGTGATGTGACGTCACTTCCAGTTCCCGTTAACAGATTCCCGACCATCGAGGCCGGGAAAGAATGTAATGCGGTGCGATGTGCGCTGAATTACATTCAGTGTAGTACAAGGGAGACATGCAGGGTCTTTTAGACCCTGGATGTCTCAAAAAATGAGAACCGGTCACCAAAAAAAATCATCACATAGGGACTTTTTGTCCCCTATGTGATAAACGAAGTTAAGTAAAAATGATTTTTAAAAAAAAAATCTAAAAATTACAAACAAGCATATAACCATTCCCCAAATTTTTCAAGGATCCCACCACCACAAACGTAAACGTACGTGCTGAGACGCCTACACATAAAATCGACGATTGGAACACACGTTACATATCGCTGCGCGCGAATGAGAATAATTCTAGCATCAGACCTCCTCCGGATTGCTAAACTGATGGCCTACAGGTGAAACTCAAAAAAATTAGAATATGGTGCAAAAGTTCATTTATTTCAGTGCAGCAACTTAAAAGGTGAAACTAATATATGAGATAGACTCATTACATGCAAAGCAAGATAGTTCAAGCCGTGATTTGTCATCATTGTGAGGATTATGGCTTACAGCTCATGAAAACCCCAAATCCACAATCTCAGAAAATGAGAATATTGTGAAAAGGTGCAATATTCTCGGCTCAAAGTGTCCCACTCTAATCAGCTCATTCAGCCATAACACCTGCAAAGGGTTCCTGAGCCTTTAAATGGTCTCTCAGTCTGGTTCAGTAGGAATCACAATCATGGGAAAGACTGCTGACCTGACACCATCATTGACACCCTCCATAAGGAGGGAAAGCCTCAAAAGGTCATTGCAAAAGAAGTTGGATGTTCCCAAAGTGCTGTATCAAAGCACATTAATAGAAAGTTATGTGGAAGGGAAAAGTGTGGAAGAAAAAGGTGCACAAGCAGCAGGGATGACCGCAGCCTGGAGAGGATTGTCAGGAAAAGGCCATTCAAAAGTGTTGGGGGACTTTCACAAGGAGTGGACTGAGGCTGGAGTCAGTGCATCAAGAGCCACCACATACAGACGGATCCTGGACATGGGTTTTTCAAATGTCGTATTCCTCTTGTCAAGCCGCTCCTGAACAACAATGTCAGAAGCGTCTTACCCGGGCTAAAGAAAAACATACCTGGTCTGTTGCTCAGTGGTCCAAAGTCCTCTTTTCTGATGAGAGCAACTTTGCATCTCATTTGGAAACCAAGGACCCAGAGTATGGAGGAAGAATGGAGAGGCCCAAGGACCCAGAGTATGGAGGAAGAATGGAGAGGCCCAAGGACCCCGAGTATGGAGGAAGAATGGAGAGGCCCAAGGACCCCGAGTATGGAGGAAGGATGGAGAGGCCCAAGGACCCCGAGTATGGAGGAAGAATGGAGAGGCCCAAGGACCCCCGAGTATGGAGGAAGAATGGAGAGCCCAAGGACCCCGAGTATGGAGGAAGAATGGAGAGGCCCAAGGACCCCGAGTATGGAGGAAGAATGGAGAGGCACAAGGACCCCGAGTATGGAGGAAGAAATGGAGAGGCACACACTGCAAGATGCTTGAAATCCAGTGTGAAGTTTCCACAGTCTGTGTTGATTTGGGGAGCCATGTCATCTGCTGGTGTTGGTCCACTGTGCTTCATTAAGTCCAGGGTCAACGCAGCCGTCTACCAGGAGATTTTGAGCACTTCATGCTTCCTTCTGCAGACGAGCTTAATGGGGATCCTGACTTCATTTTCCAGCAGGACTTGGCACCTGCCCACACTGCCAAAAGCACCAAAACCTGGTTCAATGACCGTGGATTACTGTGCTTGATTGGCCAGCAAACTTGCCTGACCTGAACCCCATAGAGAATCATGGGTCATTGCCAAGAGAAAGATGAGACATGAGACCGAACAAATGCAGAAGAGCTGAAGGCCGCTATTGAAGCATCCTGGTCTTCCATAACACCTCAGCGGTGCCACAGGCTGATAGCTTCCATGCCACGCCGCATTGAGGCAGTAATTGCTGCAAAAGGGGACCAAACCAAGTACTGAGTACACATGCATGCTTCTACTTTTCAGAGGTCAGATATTGTTCTATGAACAATCCATGTTTTATTGATGTCTCTCATCTTTCTCTTGGCAATGCCCCATAGATTCTCTATGGGGTTCAGGTCAGGCGAGTTTGCTGGCCAATCAAGCACAGTAATCCCATGGTCACTGAACCAGGTTTTGGTGCTTTTGGCAGTGTGGGCAGGTGCCACGTCCTGCTGGAAAATAAAGTCAGCATCCCCATAAAGCTCGTCTGCGGAAGGAAGCATGAAGTGCTCCAACATCTCCTGGTAGACGGCTGCGTTGACCCTAAACTTAATGAAGCACAGTGGACCAACACCAGCAGATGACATGGCTCCCCAAATCAACACAGACTGTGGAAACTTCACACTGGACTTCAAGCATCTTGCAGTGTGTGCCTCTCCATTCTTCCTCCATACTCGGGGTCCTTGGGCCTCTCCATTCTTCCTCCATACTCGGGGTCCTTGGGCCTCTCCATTTCTTCCTCCATACTCGGGGTCCTTGGGCCTCTCCATTCTTCCTCCATACTCGGGGTCCTTGGGCCTCTCCATTCTTCCTCCATACTCGGGGTCCTTGGGCCTCTCCATTCTTCCTCCATACTCGGGTTCCTTGGGCCTCTCCATTCTTCCTCCATACTCGGGGTCCTTGGTTTCCAAATGAGATGCAAAAGTTGCTCTCATCAGAAAAGAGGACTTTGGACCACTGAGCAACAGACCAGGTATGTTTTTCTTTAGCCCAGGTAAGACGCTTCTGATGTTGTTTGTTGTTCAGGAGCGGCTTGACAAGAGGAATACGACATTTGAAGCCCATGTCCAGGATCTGTCTGTGTGTGGTGGCTCTTGATGCACTGACTCCAGTCTCAGTCCACTCCTTGTGAAAGTCCCCAACACTTTTGAATGGCCTTTTCCTGACAATCCTCTCCAGGCTGCGGTCATCCCTGCTGCTTGTGCACCTTTTTCTTCCACACTTTTCCCTTCCACATAACTTTCTATTAATGTGCTTTGATACAGCACTTGGGAACATCCAACTTCTTTTGCAATGACCTTTTGAGGCTTTCCCTCCTTATGGAGGGTGTCAATGATGGTGTCAGGTCAGCAGTCTTTCCCATGATTGTGATTCCTACTGAACCAGACTGAGAGACCATTTAAAGCTCAGGAACCCTTTGCAGGTGTTATGGCTGAATTATCTGATTATAGTGGGACACTTTTGAGCCGAGAATATTCCACCTTTTCACAATATTCTCATTTTCTGAGATTGTGGATTTGGGGTTTTCATGAGCTGTAAGCCATAATCATCACAATGATGACAAATCACGGCTTGAACTATCTTGCTTTGCATGTAATGAGTCTATCTCATATATTAGTTTCACCTTTTAAGTTGCTGCACTGAAATAAATGAACTTTTGCACCATATTCTCATTTTTTCGCGTTTCACCTGTATATACTCGGCGTAAGGTCAGCTATTACGTTTCATCAAACATTTGGGTATCAACTTTGCGTCTGTGTGACCTCAAATTCATGAAAGATGTATTTCTTCCGAAATTTTGCGTTTGATCATCACTGCGAAAATATCACGCTACATTAAAAAAAAATTGCGACATTTTAATGTCCAGGGACTCAGCTTTCGGAAAATCTAGCAGCTTTGGGGGTTCAGTCATTTTCTAGCAAAGTGGCAGATTCCTGCCATGTGGGTGAGGGGAGTCAGGCCTGGCCTAGCCGGCTGCTATAGTGAATGGAGCCCAGGCGGAGCTAGGGGAATGGATGTATATAGAAGGGAATGGTCTACGCTCACCTCCCGGGCGTTCTCCTGGCCCACCAGCCCGTCGGCCGCCTGCTTGGCCATGCCTGCTCTCCATCCAGTTTGCCCAGTCCCCTTCACATGGCTGTGTGTGGCGATGCGCTGGGTCTTGGTGTGCTCTTCACCTCCTCGATCTTCATGATGCCGGACGGTTCGGGGCTCTCCGTTCTCTCCTGCGCTCTCTCGGCTCTCCTCACCATCTCTTATCCACACACCGGAGCTGGATTCCCGGGCTCCCACGGCGCCCTAGCATGCGTTTTCCAAGCCTCGACAAAAAGCCCGCCCACCCTGAAAGCTGATTTGACAGTGGCTGATCTTTCTGTGCGCCGATTGGGCCAGCCAAGTGTTAGTCTTCCAAGCAGGCAGTGACTTGAGGCCTGGGGGATACAACAGCCTGAGAAGAAGTGGAGGGGTGATGGGGGCTCATAGGAGGCAGTGCACAGAATGAGTCTGTATTGGCCCATAGAAAGAAATGTAAATAAATGTTATAAATGCATTATTCATCTACTGATATGCGGTATTGTTCCTCATGAGACTCACATCATTGGCTATTTCATTTATTGATTTAAATTTAATTAAAACTATTTATTTTCTTATTACTTTTAATTATTATGATTAATAATTTCATATTATTTATTTATTTTATTGGTTAATTGTTGCGTCATTAGGACCAATTTACGCAAAAAAAAAAAAAACCATTCTGTTGTGGTGTCTTAAAATAAATTTTTTATTTTCTTAATGTATTTATTATATTTGTTTTTATTTTATTTTTTATTATTTATTTATATTTTATTTTATAAGCTAATTGTCACATCATTAGGGCCAATTCACAGTAAAAATTTTCTGTTGTTTGTGTTAAAGTAATGTTTTAATTAATTATAATTTTTTATTTTGATTTTTTTATTTTTTTTTTTATGTAATATTTTTATTTAATTATTATTTTTATTTATTTTACTTTATTTTTTTTGGTTAATTGTCACATCATTAGGGCCAATTCACAATTTAATTAATTAAACTATTTATTTTTTTATTTAATATTATTAATTATTTTGATTATTTATTTTTTTATTTTATTGGCTAATTGTTTTTATTAGGAATTTTTAAGCAAACCATTCTGTTGTGTCTTAAAGTAATTTTTTATTTTTTTAATTAAACAATGTATTTTATTTATTTTTATTATTTTCATATTATTTTTAGGAATATTATTATTATTATTTATTTTTTTATTTTATTTTATTGGCTAATTGTCATATCAGTAGGGCCAATTCACAGCAAACCATTCTGCTGTGGTGTGTTAAAGTAAGCTTTTTTTAAAAAAAATGTTAATGAATGGATAAATTCAACATTTTATTTATTTTTATCTATTTTTTATATTATTATGAATATTATTGTAATTTATTGTTATTTATTTTATTTTATTGGCTAATTGTCACATCATTAGGGCCGATTCACAGTAAACCATTCTGTTTTGGTGTTTTTTTAAAGAAATGTTTTTTTAATTAATTATAATTTCATTCATTCATTTTTATTCATTTTTTATTTCTTTATTTTTATGTAATATTTTTTTTTAATTATTATTATTTTATTTATTTTACTTTATTTTATTGGTTAATTGTCACATCATTAGGGCCAATTCACAATTTAATTTTTAAACAATTTTTTTTTTTTTTTAATTTAATATTATTAAAATTTGTATTATTATTTTTTTTATTTATTTAATTGTCGCATAATTAGGACCAATTCACAGCAAACCATTCTGTTGCAGTGTCTTTAAAGTTCATTTTTATTTTCTTAATTAAACAATGTATATATTTTATTTATTTTTTATCTATTTTCATATTATTATGAATATTATTATTATTTATTTATTTATTTTTTTTTATTGGCTAATTGTCATGTCAGTAGGGCCAATTCACAGCAAACCATTCTGCTGTGGTGTGTTAAAGTAAGCTTTTTTTTAAAAAAAAAATAATAATGAATGGATGAATTCAACAATTTATTTTTATTTTATTTAGTATAGTATTTTTTATTTTTTATATTATTTTTTTTTTTATTTTTTTTTTTTTTATTGTATTTATTTTTTTTATCTATTTTTGATACTATTATGAATATTATTATTATTTTAATTCTTTCTTTTATTGGCTAATTGTCACGTCATTAGGGCCAATTCTCAGCAAACCATTCTGCTGTGGTGTGTTAAAGTAGAACTAAAAACAACATTTTTTTTTTTACATTTTGGATAGAGCAAGGGAGGGTTAATACCCCTATCGGGTTTTTTATTTCTTTTTTTTTGCCCACCTGTGTCCCATTATAGAAATTTGCCTTCACTTCCTGTCCCATAGCCAAAACAGGAAGTAAGAGGAAATTCCTCCAGAACTAAGGTTTTTTTTTTTTTTTTTTTTTATTGTAAAAAGATGAAAGTTACACCCAAGCACATACCACCCCCCCCCAAAAAAAAAAAATATCGAGGCCCCCACCCCCACATATATGCACGTACAAAAAAAAAAAGCACACACTGGGGCTCCTACGTATCAAATTGTCAATTGCAATACACATGTTACATATCGCCGCGCACGCCAGGATGAGAGCGATAATTCTAGAACCAGACTACCTCCGTAGCGCTAAACTGGTGACCTATAAGGGGCTTTAAATGTGTCGACCTATAGAAAAGATAGGGTAATGAAGTTAGCCGCCATTTCATGAGCGCACACAAATTTAAGGTCTGACAAGTTGAATATCTGTTTACTCGCTACAACCTCGTCTTTTATATTTTACAAAAAAATATTGCTTTTTTTGTGCTCTAAAATGAACTTACTTGAATTTTTTACTGAAATTTTGCGGTAATATCATGAGACATAAAAAATTGGAACTACCGCTATTTTATTCTCTAAGGTGTCTGCTTTCAAAAAATATATCATGTTAGGGGTTTTTATGTAATCTTCAGACCTACAATGATTTTTAAACATGTGCAAAAAATGCAAAAATGACTCTGGCAGCGAAAGGGATAAAGGATAAGCCGGACACTCCCCTTTCCTGACGAGCAGCCAATCGGTGCTCATTACACTGCAAGATCTCTCTCCTCCCTGCTAGTCCCTGGGGCGGGGCTGGAGACAGGCAGGGAGGGGAGGAGGAGATAAACAGCGCAATGTTAACCTCTTTACGCCGGCCGCACACAAATGTGCGTCCTCCCCGGAGTCTGGGCCTAGACGCCGAGCGGCCCGCACATTTGCGTTCTATTAAAAAAAAAGGACATATGTGCCGAGAGCGCGCTCCCAGCACACATGTCCGGTACTCAAGGAAAGGTCCCGATCTCCTCTTTCGATCGGGACCTTTCCGAATCATGTGACCGCTGTGACGGTGCGTCACGGCGGTCACATGACCCTAAACCCCACCCCGCCTCCTGGCTTCTGGAACCCTTAAAGAGCCAGGAGGCGCCGGCTTGAAGTGGTTTAAAAGTATTTACACATTTAAGTCGACATAAAGCCTCTTTTGCAGGGGCGGACTGACCATTTGGAAACTAGGGCACTGCCTGAGGGCCCGGGGTCAGTAGGGGGCCCCCATGAGATGCCCCTGGTACCTTTTTCATAGGCTTTTTTTTGAGTTTGGGCAAGGACACAGGGGCCCCATGATCCCCTATTGCCCAGGGGCCCCATGAGTTGTCAGTCCGCCCCTGCTCTTTTTTTTTAAAAGCCCCATATGACATTCCTAAAATCACCTACTAATTTAAATACAGTTTTGGTTACATCTTTTTTTTTTTATCTGGAAAATAGATTGTCATGAGGGACAAGTAGATTGGAGCCCTGATTTAGTCCCTGGACAAGTGGATTTTTTCAAAAATTTCCACACCCCTGAAAAAGAAAAGAATAGAACAGAATTGAATAGAACAGAATAGAATCAAAAAGACAAGAATAGAATAGAATAGAATCAAAAAAAAAGACAAGAATAGAATAGAATCAAAAAGACAAGAATAGAACAGAATAGAATAGAATAGAATCAAAAAGACAAGAATAGAACAGAATAGAAAAGAATAAAAGCAAAACAGAACAGAATGGAATAGAATAGAAAATAAAATAAAAAAATAGTATAAAATAGAATAGAAGAAAAAAGGGATAGAATAAAAAAAAAATATAAAATAGAAAAGAATATAATAGAAAATAAAAGAACATAATAAAATAGAAAATAAAAATTTGAACAGAATAGAAAAGGTGAGAATAGAAACAACAATAAAAAAGAATAAAAATAATATAACGGTCTTCTGAAATTTTAATTTCAAATAGAATAAATTAAAATTTGAATGACGATTCGATACTTTTCGATTCGGTCAAATTTGAAAATGAATAAACAAAAATATACAAATTTTGAAAGCGAATTAAACAAATTTAACTAAACAAAGTTATTTAAATAACAAAACTAAATGAAACAAAACAATTTTTTTTTCATCCTGCACGTCTAATATACACTTACTGGGATTTTTTTTGTAGCATAATACATGTTGGGCTAAATTTATGAAGAAATATCTTTTTTTTTTTATTGGATATGTTTTATAGCAGAAAGTATTTTTTCAAAATTTTCGAACTTTTTTTGTTTATATATAAAAAAAACCCAGTGCTGATCATATATCACCAAAATAAAGTTCTATTTGTGTGAAGAAAAAAAAAAAATGATAGAAGTTTTTGTACAGTGTTGCATGACAGCGCAATTGCCAGTTAAAGTAGCGCAGTGCCGAATAGCACAAAAATGCCCTGGTATGGAAGGGGATAAAACCTCCCAGAGCTTCATCAGAATATCCGACCACACTATGGCTAGGTTCACACCTATGCAGGCTGCATTTGAGCCATTACTGCATTGCATTTTGCGATTTTGCACTTGCGTTTTTATGCGTTTTTGGTGCGTTTTGCTTTTTTTTTTTTTCAATTTTCTTGTTGCTAGGCAGGTTTAAAATGCAAAAAACGCATCAAACACGCACTACGTGCTTTTTTGCAGCGTTTTCCATGAAGTCTATAGAACCAAAAATGCAACTTTTTGCGTTAAAAAAAAAAAAAGTGTCTGACCCTTTCCAAAAAATGCACCGGGTGAAAATGTGGAGATGTGAATCTGTCCCATAGGAAATCATGTTAAATGGACTGTATTGCATTTCT